ATCTTCGGCACAGCTCTGGGGGAGAGGGTGTAAAATTTTTTTTAATTCTCAAAATTTGGACATAAGTGAACAGCAACGTCTAATGAAAGACGGATTAACAAAAAGAATACAGCTTATGAATACTAAGCATAGCATTCCACTACCTCTGAATTCCCAACATGATTCCGTTGCAGTATATTACATATTTATATTCATATCCAGAGAGACAACGAATCATTGTTATAAGTTTATAGATTGGAAGTGGAGAGAGAATGTTCATTTGTCTTGTGTTTAATTGAAGACGAAAATTGGAAAATTGGTAAAGCTATAAAATTAGGCCGCGACAACTGAACTCGGAGGAAATATCTTCTGATTATAGATGGCTATGGATATAAATTTTGCTTAATTAATTAAATTGAATGTAGAAAAATGCAATTCTTTGGTCACTTAAAATGACACCAGACCATTGTGAAAGAGGTGCTGGGAGAAATGATGTGGGACAGGAGAGCCAGGGCAATACAAAGAGTAATATACAGATGGACAACATTAAAACATGGACTCGCCTGGGTATAGCAGTATAATGCCACGGCTGCTCGCGACCATAAAAGATGGAGGGTCATTATACATCAACCTCTGACTCTCCGTCAGAGATGACACCTCCAGGTATTCAAGGTGTAAATAAAATTTATTAAGCACACAGGACAAGCTTCTCAAATTATGCAGGCATAGCGTTAGAGTGAAGGTTAGAGGTAGTAACCGCATGGTTATGCAAATGACTGACTTAGGGATAAAGTTAGCTTTAGGATCATGATATGAGTTTGTTTTACGGTTATTATTAGGTTATAGTTATGGTTATAGAATGTTGTAGTAAAGTATGCGGTTAAGATTATGATTAGTTTTGGTCAGATTGATCAGATGTATAATTAATTGAAATAACATCTGATATTTTCCTGTCTTAAGGAACCAACCCGGTCTGTGTCGGGTACACCCTATAAAAAAGGCAGAGACGTTATTTCAAATACAGAAAGAGCGACCGGGGTTGGGGTTGGGGTGGGGTGGGATTGGGGTGAGGAAGAGACATAACAATACAAGAGTATGTTTTGAGGATTGGAAATTCCAACCTCCTTACCGGAAGTTTTAATTCACTGCCTGCCTGGATGCTTTTTGTCATTTATTATTATTATTTTATTTTTTATTGTTGTTTCTTCTTTCTTTACAACGCGATAATCGTTTCTTCATACAGAACAAAACTCCGTATCGCTGGATAATGAGGTGATTATTTTCAGGAACTTTGGGGTAACGACAACGACAACATGGATTACGAGCAAGAGAGATTCTTGGAACTCTTCAGTTTTAAATTTCTGAGAAGAGGGGTTAAAACAAACCGCACAGTTCTGTCTGGTATCAGTGTAGAATGCTTACGTCTTCAGCTGTCAGATAGACGGATTGAAAGAGGCAGTGAGAAAAGGGTTCTCATGCTCAGGGTTCAGTTGTCAGCTTTGTTTGTATCTTCAGTTGATGTGAAACTGAGGCTTCGGAGAAACTAGTTTCCTGTCGTGTTAAAGAGACCTGATTTGTCAAGATGCCAAAGTCATACATGAAAAAAGGTGCAAATGGCGAAAAGTTGTTGTTCGACTGAAAGTAGTGTGTGTTTGTTTGTGTGCGTACGTGTGGGTATGTGTGTGTGTGTACATCTATGTGTGCGTGTGTGTGTGTGTGTGTGTGTGTGTGTGTATGTGTGTGTGTGTGTGTGTATGCTTAAGAGAGAGAGAGAGCAAAGAAAGAGAGAGAGAGAAAAGAGACAGAGAAGGAAAGAGGGAGAGAGAGAGAGAGAGAGAGAGGGGGGGAGAGCGAGAGAGAGGGGGGGGAGAGCGAGAGAGAGAGAGAGAGAGAGAGAGAGAGAGAGAGAGAGAGAGAGAGAGAGAGTGAGTGAGAAAGAAAGAGAAAAGGGAAATGGGTCCAAGGGTTTGTATCGGTGTTAGAGCAAGAAAGAAAGAGTAGTGAATAAAAGACAGACAGACAGATAGACAGACAGATAGACAGACAGACAAACAGGCAGAGACTTGGTTTGAATTTATTATACTGATGCGTTTGACACAAAATACAGAGCTTTCGAAGATTTAACGAGCACTGCCGGCTATGACAAATAGAAGATTGAGATTCTTTGTAAGGGAATGAAAATGCTGTCTCCCGCCCTTTCATTCAAACAATGAGATTTCAGTCTTCTTTTTTTTAAATCGATAAAACAGTACAGATAAAAGTACAAATCAATTTTTCCAAGAAAACCACGATAATTGTTTGGAAGAATGTATGTCCAGCATTCTCTGTGACGCACGCAAGGAAATTAATAGCTCATCCGCATCCCCCACATAGCAGTCACTTACAGGTTCTATTGTAGAACTCCAAAAGCAATGCAAAACTAGTCCCGGTGCTTTCTCTTCAATGCACGCTATAAAACAACGACCCACCCAGCATTGATACACCAAATCCGCCTCTTCCCGCAGGTGCTGGTTTTTTCCCCCTATGTCTTCCCAGCCCACGCGCGAATGCAGCGCTACCCAACTCACTCACGACTCGGTGCTGTTACTATTCGGCCGTCCTCACGTTTCATTAGAGCGCGCGAGACCTCGCTTTGCTTCGGCACACATTAAATTGCATGTGGCGCAGTTTGTATCAGGGTCGTGTTTATGAACCGAGCTTAATTGAGGTTCTCTAGGGTTAGTAAATGTTAATAACTTGCTTCGGAACACAAGTGTGAATCTTTCTTTGTACTTTAACTTACTGATACCATTCTTCAGACATTCAGGGACTAAACAACAGAGAGTAGCTGTACCAATTCGGTCATAGTGTGAATTGAGAAGGTAAGCGTTTACTTTTTTTAAACACTGAAATCCATTTCATAAATAATTTCTATTTCTGTCAGTACTCTTGAGATCAGCACAATTTAAGGCTGTTTTTCCTTAGTTTTTTTTATGTACTTATTCCACGTCTTCAACATTTTTCAGTGTGTTTTGTGTTTCTTCATTTGTTGAAGTTTCCTTTGGTTATGTATCACATCTATCCCCTTCCTTGTCTTGGCTACTGCCTACTGTACTCTAAACACTGGGCCCAATCAACTAAATTAGAGTAATTAGTAAGGTTTTAGTAAGCGCCGTAAAACCTTACTAAAACTGACTATATCAGATAGGTAAAAGAGAAGGAGGTCTATCTGTTAGGTGGTGCAGAGTGATATCAAGCTGGGCTACCAAACAGATGGCCCTATTTCGAATCCTCAGCGGACATTCTGAGGTCGGGTTATTTGGGAGAATTGTTAAGATTCTCCACTAATGAGGTCTGGTCCAGTCGAAGATGGACGTTAAGTTCGGAGACCCGCCTCCTCACTACCCTTACAGTGCTAAAAGAGGCGTTAAACCTTAAAATCTACATGTACATTAACCAGCACGATGATTTATCCGTCACTGGACATGTGAACTAAATTGCACATGTAGCTACGTCATAATGACGAAGTTCTATCTGCTCAGTACCATGTTTTGAGAAATTTGACGTAAAAAAACGTTCAGTTTCATAATAGCTCAAGCTTTTTTCGAATGCAATTCTTTAAATATCTTAAGAATCACTCAGAATAATCTTGCGATTTTGGTATAGCAGATAGAGCATTTAATTTATGACCTCATGATCATAGTAACTCAAAACAGCCAAAAATGTCAGATAGAACTTTTTAATTCTGAGGTAGCGATGTGTCAGCGACATGAAAGTCATACTCGATCACAGTTCAATATTTTGCCACGTGAAATTTGAACTTGCGTACTTCACATGCATTGCGAAAAGTTGAACCTTAAAACCGCATAACTTTATGACGATAAATTGGCAATTAAGTTAGGCGACCGAGACCTCTAATGTCGTTGTGCAATCCTCGCTTTAGAGTAAAACGTCGTTGACATACAGCTTGCAATAACAGTTATGTTCTCGAGCCTGGTTTCTGTCGTGTTGTTGAGGAAGTCTAGTTAATATTATTCAATTTAAATAAGTGGGTTTTTTTGTTTTTAAATACTAGTGCCCAGGATTTGAATGGATGCAATTTAAAAATCAGAACGGGGAATCGAATTTACAAACACCTTTTTTTCTTCGTACGTCCCTAAATGCACAAAGATGATCAAATATAAATAATGTTTCGATAGTTTAGTGGTTATGCAACGGGACTCATAATCTCGAGATTGCGTGTTTGTGAGTTCGAGGCTCAGCTAGGTCCGAAGTCATAGCCCTGGAAAAGGAACATTTCATGCATTTGGCCAATCTAGCTCCTGCCGGAGACCGACATTTAATTCGGACGTTCCCATTCTCATTATCATCATCATCATCATCATCATCATTGCCTATCTCACCCTGGATCAGGATATAGGCCACGAACAAACATATTCACCATTTCCCTATCCTGGGCTAGTCGCTTGATGTTACTCCATGTTTTCCCACTGCTCTGTACATCCATCGGAGATTCCCGTCTGTCAAATAACCTCTTCAATGCTGCATAGAGCGTTGAACTTACACAATCTCGTAATTTTTAGAAGAAAAAAAAACAAGCTTATTTCGAGAACCGCTACTCTTCCATACAAAATCAGGCAAGAACAAACGACATCAAAGAATAAGCCAACCATTTTGCAAAAAGTATTGTTTGGGCAAAACAAGGAATCACGCCAAAAACACCTACCTTATGGTAGTTCTTGCCAATACTGCCGATCCTGTGCACCTACGCATGACCCACTCCCCCCCGACCCCCCCACACACACTCTTTCCCCCTTTAATGGGTTAAAAAAAAATTAATACACACAAAAATTCTGATTTCAAAATCAAAAAGATTGCAGCAACATTTCACTATGTTTTGAAGTTTCAGGTCTGTGTAGAAAAACAACAAAAGTGTTGGTTTTTTTATTTAGGAATGGTGTATTGCATTGTATTTGGGGGATATTTTTATTTCATTTTAATGACTATAGTAACGATTTTGAGTCTGAATTCGTTATAAACAGAAGAGCAGTAATACAAGAGCAGTATCTCGGTGCTGTACAAATTACTGTAAAGCCTACTATATCCAAATTCTATTTATGGAAACACAAATTGCCTTAAAAAAAAACACAATGAAAGTTTACATTAT